TCCTGGCCAGGGCGTGGAGACGCATGTGGTGTGGTGGTGGTTGACGCTCTTGGCGGCCTTCTTCGGCGGCTGGGTGCGGTCGATCCGGCGGCCCTAGCCGGCGGACGGGTGGCTGCCTCTTCCTTGCAGGTTCTGGCCGGAGGCCGTGGTAGGGCGTCAGGGGTGACGCAGGGGAGGCTGCTGGAGGGACGGGTAGACCGACTACCTATCACCGGCGCAGGGGTGCGCCGGTCCGGGCGAGCTCCGCTCCCCCTCCCCTTTTCCTGGCCTAGTGCCTCCTTGCCGCTGACAGTTGTTCGGGGTGGGTTGGTCACCGGCGGTTCCGATGGTGCTAGGGGTTTGCCGGTCGGCTCAAAGCTCGTGCCTTTGATGGTCTCCGGAGTGTCTGGATGCAAGGCGACGGCCTTGGTGGTGGGAGCTGATGGCTCGTGGGCGGAGCTCGTGGCTCGGACGCTGACGGGCTTGCTGTCATGGCCTCGTGGGCGGCATGGGGGTGGGCCTTCGACGATCTCGGTGGTGGTGCGGCCGGCGCTCTCATGTAGGGTCGTACCTTGAACGGAGGCTGAGGGTGGTGGCCGGGGTGAAAACCTCGTTTGGCTCAGAGCTAGACCGATGGCGGCGGCGCCCATGCGTTGTTCCCTTCTTGAAGGCTCCATCGCGGTGACCCTGCGTCCTTCGTGTCACTCCGGGTGAAAACCTAGATTCCCTGGTTCGGGCGGTGGCGGCTCTTCGATGCCGTTTCTTTCTTGGAAGCACCGTTTTGGAGTCCCTGGTTCGTCGAGTTGCGGCTTCGTCTCCTCGCGGTGACTTGTTCACGGTGGAGAGCTCTTTAGACCCTTAGCTATGCTCTTCTGCCTACTTGTTGTTTGCTTTGGGGTGTTTAGAGTAGCGTTGTTGTTCGTCAGCTCCCTTGTATCTGCCTTGGGTGTGTGTGTGGTGTCGGGTGGTTTGCATCATGTATGTTGATCGTTGCTTTATATATAAAGCGGGGCGAAAGCCTTTTTCGGTATAGATGGTGAAGAGGAAGCGAGGAGTCTACTTTATAGAATTCCAAGATGTCAAAAACGGATGATACAATTGTGATGGATGGCAACCACAAATTACCAGCGAGTCTTGAGCTGGGTCATGGGACGAGGAAGCCCATGGTGGTTCGAGCGCTCTTGGGGATCCAAGGGTGGGTGAGATCAGATGTATTATTTGTGTCTGAAACACATCTAAACAGAAGTAAGGTAGAAAATCTAAGGAGGTTTGGCTTTGAGAGGATGGAGGTGGCAGAAAGTGATGGAAGAAGTGGAGGGCTTGTGATGTTGTGGAATACTAGTTTGGGTGTTTCTTCAACCGAGGTTCAACCAAAATTCATTGACATCCGCATCAATGAATCTTGTGAGGCGTTTTACAGGTATACTAGCGTTCAAAAAGCACGGTGCACGCCGCACCCATGACGAATCCCGTCAGAATTTTGTGCAAGCTCTTATGTTGCCTACTTGCAGAAAGAATTGTGTCTTGATTTTACTATAAATCTTGCAGTGATTCATTCTGCTATGACATGTACATTAGAGCATAACATGCCACGGGGAGAAGAAAAATAAGACGCACACAAACGTTTAAACTCAAATTCAAGCTATTTATGCAATGGTGATAACTGCAGATTATTTTAAAAAAAAGTTTCAGATCCTTCATCAGAGCATATATGTGTGCAGTTTGATATTCTTTTCAGAACGAAAACTGTGCCTCACTGAAACATACCCTAGGCTTCTGCGCTTGATCAACTATTCATCAATTCAAATAAACAAAAGAACTATGGATATAATTTTAGTAGGGCAATTATGTCTTGGAAATAGAATTGTTGACACCTCTGATCTTTTGTAGATACAATGTTCTTACTCTAAAAGATTCAACTGCATTCGACAGAGGCAGAACAATCCATTTCCATCGCGGGTTTGGATGCGACTGGTGGACAGGGGAGTGCGTCGGTGAATGGGGGGCATGAGGGTTTTTTTTATAGCAGGGGAGGCCGGTGGGTGCTAGTGACCAGAGTAACGCCGCCATCAATGGGGCACCTTGGGAACCCCCGCCGCCCCGGGAGCCAGCCAGACATGTCTCGCAGCGTCCAACCGGCCGCCTCGTAATCCACAATGACGACTCGCCCACATGCCAACGGTCGCCCACTTCGCCACGCCACGTCGGGCGACACGGTCGACCCGCTGACTGCACACTTCACCTTGCCGGTAGGGGCGGTTTAGGCATATGTACGGCTGGTCGCGCGCACGTACGTTACATACACAACGCGCATACCGGCGAGGACAGAAGGGCAACGATTTTTTAAAATAAAAGACCATCCTATCTTTTTTGTGAAGGGCTATTATGAGTTAATCTCGGTCGTTTTTAATGTTTAGGGTGTGCACACTGAAGCAGAAGGAAACGTAAAATTATCACTGCCTAAGAGCATCTCCAATAGATGGTCCAAATTTTGGCGGTTCAAAACCGGAGATGTAAAATATAGACCATCAAAAAGTGTATTTTGGAGTTTCGAAAAATGCTCAACTTCACAGATGGTCCAAATCGAAGATGTAAAAGAGCAACTCCAACAAATGGTCAAAAACGAAGATGTAAAATCACCTTGATCGTCTTCTTCAACCTCAGGACGTCGGCCGCCTTCGTCAAATCCGTCGCCATCAAGCTCTCCCCGACCTCCCCGAGCGTGCCATCCTCCTCGTGATGAGCTCCTCTCCCAATCTTCCTATTTTTTCCCTTCGATCGGTGTCGTTTGCCACCGCTCCCGTGCTTGTCCGTGGTCGCCATGGCCGGAGCCCGAGCTCCCCTGTACGTGCTCCTTTGCCGGGCAACAGCGACGGAGGCGGGCAGCAGCCGACGCGAACACCACGAGCAGCGGCACAGGCACGCTGCACGGGCCAGCAGCGACGGCAGCTCGGCTAGACAGGTTCAGTGCGGGGCGCCGGCGGGGCTGGGAGGCGGTGGCAACGGGGCGGGCCAGCGAGCAGCTGCGGGCGGTGGAGGCAGGCGGCGGCCTAAGGACCCAGCGGAGGCCTACATGGGCAGCCGGACCGCCCGAGGCGCTGAATCCCACTGCAGTTGCCTCCTGATTCGGCGGCGCCCGGGCGGCTGCGAGACGGCTTCCGGCGAGGGAGGCGACGGGGGCGGGGGCGGTGGGGATTTGGGAGGCGCTGGCGATTTGGGGCGGTGGTGGCAGGGATTTGGGCGCTGGCGGCAGCGGATTCCGGCCGACTGGTGTTCGGGCGTGCGGACGGGCGCGGCTGTGAAATAAAATGAAGGGCGGTTGGGTGTTGGCGAGCGGTCGCCGAATTTGGACCAGTTATATCTCGTGATGCAAATTTGCACCGCGAGGTGTTGTATTTTACATCACCGAAAGGCCACGGTCCAATTTCTTTTACATATGAACCGTCTGTTGAAGCAGCGCTTTTTGTCCTAGACAGTTCAAAAATTAGGTATTTTTATATTTTTTATATTTTTTTTAGAAAAGGAGGATGCACCCCCGGCCTGTGCATCTGGACGATGCATACGACCACTTTATTAATTATTAAGTACAAAAGACCTTACAAAGTAGTACATCAGTAAGCTTGAAGCCACCATCTAGGCAACATCTGTCGCTACTCCTACCCCCTTGATGCAGTGGTGCCGAATGTCCGAGTCTAATACCAAACATACATCGCACCAAATCCTAACATCTAATGCCGGATGCCCCATCCTAGCCACATACCAGGACTGAGTCACACGCCGGTCCGGCGCACTCACCGAGGCTGCCGCCGCCTTCTTCCACCGATCCATCTCCAGAGCCGGTACTGACGCACAGACCTTGCCAGGCCTGCCGTCGACGCCACCATGGCGCTAGATAGCTTGAACACCCTGCGCTCGTCCATCCAGCCGCATCCGTCGTCGATATGCAGCTGCACCATGCCGCCACCACTCGTCGTCAATGACGCGGTAGATACAACGCCACACCACATGGCAACCTCCACACCATCGCCACTGCTGGAGCTACTCGGAGCCCACCATCCACAACATCTCTCCCCCAACAACAGTTCCTCCCAAGACGGCGCCTCCATGGAGGATACGACGCGCAGGACGCCGACGCCGCC